GTTTAATCCCCGATTTATGAATGTGTAATTGTCTGACCAAACAATTAAAATGTTAATTATGCAAGAAAACCTTGCTTTGGTCATCTGATCAACTTATTTAGACTTTGTTTATTTAATGAGTAGATTATGCACACATTTTAATAATACTATTTAAACTGAACTGAGCTGGATGATGATATCACTGAATTCAATGATGAACTGCCTTTAACTGAAAATTAAGTGTTTACTATTTTAATTTTGCATTAATGACTAATGTCCTAATTAATGCTGTACAGTTGCTTTGACACAATCTGTATTGTTAAAAGCGCTATATAAATAAAGGTGACTTGACTTGACATGTGGTTTGCTCGCGCGGTCAGACAGACGCCGCTGCCCGTGCTCGCACTCTTCACTAAGGTAAAGCACACGTGCTCACCTGTGGACACAAGAGACGGAAGGCGCTCGTCCTCTCAAACAGACTGCAGCTGACACATACAAATAACTGCTGTTTTAATGACTTAAACACACTCTTAATGTCACACTGTCTAAGCATCATTTGCATCAGAGCTCTTCCTGAAGCAGCATAGAGGAAAAGGCAGTAAAGAATCCTGCTGATAATGTCAGCTCTCATAGCAGCTGAAGTGCTGCTAACACATCCAGTAAATTCAATGAATCATAAAAGATCGGATTGGATTGAAAATCTTGTATATGGCAATGTGTCCTACAGCACTGTTGGAATGAAAGTAAATTACTAGTAAAGAAATTCCTGTCGGCCCTAGATGTGTATCCTTTGCAGATGCATGAGCAGAAGTTCAGAAATGTCTGTCTATTACACACAGCTCGCCTGACTGCGTACATCAGAGTGTTCTGGGTTCATCTTTACTCTGGAACAGCTGTTGTCTTGTTTAGCAAAGACTCGCCTAGTTAGTCAAACACTAAAAGAGTTTATTTTATATGAGTTGGCACTCGTTCCTTCTCTTTCTAGAACAGAATGACTCATAAATAATGCTAACAATGAGTTCAGTCATGCCCCTTTGCTACAGATTAGGAGAATTCAGTGTGCGTGAGAATGTGAATTAGGTATATTACTATTCGTATTCAGTGAAACAAAAGGAGAAGTTTTGAAGAATCTTCATGCAGATATTATTTAATGACCGTTCAGCTCAAATAATCGATCAAATGATCAAGAATAGTCAAGAAAGTCTATTAGTGTAGTGCAGTGTAGTGTGCTATTGCACATTTTGTAAATGCAGGTCTTATATACATAGCAACATTTGCAGACTGCAGAAGTAGCATGAAATTCAGCCAGTGAAGGTGAAGAGCACAGTTCTGTCCATCAGTCTGCGTTAGGCAGCAGGGATTCATTGCTCCAGGAGCCGTGCCCTTTGTGTGATGAAGCGAAAGCAGCACTCGAGCCAGACTGTCCACCTGTTCACACTAGGGCTGGGTTTTGACACAAATTTCACGATTCGATTCGATTCTCATTCACAAGCTTGCGATTCAATTCGATTCAATATGGATTCTTTTGGATATATATCAGGTACAGTAGGCTACATGCCAAATTTTCTCAAGGAAAAACAATCTCAACTAATGCTGTAAAATATACATGAGAGTCAGTTAGTACTACATTACTATAATATTGAAGGTTAAAATTAACCCATTTGTTAAAATTACACCTAATGAAGTTTTTAAAATAATAAAGTTACAATTACATAATATTTCTACTTCAATTTGTTGTTGTTTTTAAATATAAAAATAATGGTGGCTGTCATAAAATCTTGATGGATTTACTCAAACAAATAAAACATTGATGAACAGTAAAAATTATAATGAATATATGGTGCAAATATTTAGCAAAATGCCCCTATCTACAGTTTATTTTTCTGACTAATGAGTTTATGGTCACCGAATATGTTTTTTCATAGTTTTTTAATGTTTTTCTGAGGTAAATGTGACGTTACGTGACATTGTTTACAAGCCGTTATATTGAGGTTTGCGCGGCTGAAACACTGATTGAGAGATTACACGAGACAGGACAGATTACAATGGACAGAACTTGAAATCTGAGACTTGTTTCATATTAAAATTACCAAAGCACAATGCTTATTGCGATTTATTGGATGGGACGTTCCGTTGAAGGCAACGTTCCGTCCATTAACTGAAAACAGGCTAGATTCATCGATTATTGGGATTTAAGAATCGATATCGTTCTGTAAAAATGAGAATCGATTAATATCGAGATATCAATTTTTTTACCCAGCGCTATTTCACACTCCCCTCGTGTTCACCTGATCAGGTGTGTTTAATGTGTGTGGGTTTGAGCTGCAGGAGCTCTACAGCAGCCGTCCGCAGAACAGAGTCTGCTTCGACAGACATCCCAAATAATAAAGTTACAATTACATAATATTTCTACTTCAAATTTTTTTTTTTTAATATAAACATAATGGTGGCTGTCATAAAATTATGGATTTATTCAAACATAAATTAAGCATTGAAGAACAGTAAAATTTATAATGAATATGTTATATGGTTTGCATATATTTAGCAAAATGCCCCTCTCTACAGTTTATTTTTCTGACTAATGAGTTTATGGTCACCGAATATGTTTTTTCATAGTTTTTTAATGTTTTTCTGAGGTAAATGTGACGTTACGTGACATTGTTTACAAGCCGTTATATTGAGGTCTTTGCGCGGCTGAAACACTGATTGAGAGATTACACGAGACAGGACAGATTACAATGGACAGAACTTGAAATCTGAGACTTGTTTCATATTAAAATTACCAAAGCACAATGCTTATTGCGATTTATTGGATGGGACGTTCCGTTGAAGGCAACGTTCCGTCCATTAACTGAAAACAGGCTAGATTCATCGATTATTGGGATTTAAGAATCGATATCGTTCTGTAAAAATGAGAATCGATTAATATCGAGATATCAAATTTTTGACCCAGCGCTATTTCACACTCCCCTCGTGTTCACCTGATCAGGTGTGTTTAATGTGTGTGGGTTTGAGCTGCAGGAGCTCTACAGCAGCCGTCCGCAGAACAGAGTCTGCTTCGACAGACATCCCCGTCTTTCATTTGAACGGACAGTTTCTGATGATGCATCGTGTGAACTCGACGAGCAGCTCAACAATAACATCTGCAGACCTGACGCAGCGCTTCTCTTCATGTCAGTAAAGGTGTACCAGCATCAGCTGTACGTCAGGTGGTGTTTTCTCTGATCCTACTCTCTCAGAAGGCTAAATATGTGAGCTGCTGCATCATCAAAGTCTGCCAAAGACCTTCTTTTCACATCTTTCATTCAGCTTATTTAGAAGGATGCATCAAGTGTGTCCTCCAAACACCCACAATCCTTTGCGCTCATTCCAGTTCATGGAAAACAATTGGGAGGAGTCCATCATGCAATGCAGGACAAGAAATGATTTTGAAGGCGGCAAATGTTTCCTTTTGATTTGTTGTAAATAATGCTAAACTGTGTGTGGCGGAGACCACAGGCGGTTGTCATTACCTAGATTTGTATTTGTGTTGCATTAATATAGATTTCAATATGAAGCATTATTCAAATCATTTTCATGTTGTGACTGCAGTGTGTTCTCATGGTGTTCATTGTAGCCTCAGAAGGACTGAACTAGAAGAGATGCAGCCTTCCTCTCACTTTCACAGCTGCTTTGAGGAGCATGACTGGTTTGATCTGTTGCAGATATCTGGTGGGTTAAACCAATCTTCAGCGGACTGCAATGAACAACCCTAGTCTGAAGTGCACTGAAGATAAGTGTTTCCACATCAGTTACTTGAAGCAGGTGGCAACTGATTGCTATAGAAACATTCCTCACTACGAATTGAAATGGTTTTGATTATGTGATATTATGGTGTTAATGACTGATGTGGAGTTAACTTAAATATGAGAACGGTCCACACCGCTGGTGAATCGCTGCTCTCCTATGGACTGTCCCAGCTCACCTCTGGTTCTTTCAAGGGGCAAATGAGAGGATTTCATATTGTGTTTATACACTGGTTAGCCGAGCGAATGCCTCCAGTCTTTCAGTTAAAGCAGCTTTTGCTCCAGAAAGCATTAGCTGAACAAAGATAACTGTAAAAAGCCAGATATCAGATATCGCTGATGACACATTGAAACGAGCTCATCCAACACGGTTCATTTCCCATTCCAGAGGAGCTGCAGGAGGGCTTTTCTAAACCTCACATCACAATCATACAGGTGCACATTAGTAAGACCGAGCAATGAAAGTGAAGACAGCCTGAAAATAGTCAACACTTTATTTGATCATTTGAAATATAAAGGCTGCAGAAAAATAAAGCATGCATGTGACAATTCTTAAAATAAAAGATTAAACATCAAATTAAAACATATGCGTAAGGCTAGTGTTGGTTAGATAGTACAGACGAAAGCAATACAAAACATTTCAGCTCTGACAATCTGTAAAAAAATACAGTACTGAATCTGGAGGTTTCATAGCTTCCCCACTGCGTCCAGCGAACATATTAGATCCGACACAGCGTGCTAATATACAGTCAAAGAGAAAGAGGAGACCCAAAACTGCATCTCTTCAGCAGGAATAATGACAGCGGTTCATACATGACGTCTAATAAACACCCTACACCTCACACACAGAAAACCAAGTCACTTGTGCTACATTTCCCTGAAATCTGAGGACTGAGTGAAGTCTTGCAGTTGGAGCGGATCATGTGACAGGCTGTCGAGCATGCGCTGCTGAAGAGACGCGTCAGGCCCGCGATCATGTAGTGAATTACTTTTGAACAGCTGCTTTAAATACAATCACAAACTTTAATATCATTCAAACTAGCATGCAAATGCATCGGTCTGTAATAAACTCACTAAAAACTGAGCCATTATAAAAACTGTCTATAAAAGAGACCTAAAATGCAATCTTATAAAATTAATAAACATGATTTAAAAAAAAAAAAAAAAAGGGTTAGTCACAGAATCTGACGTGGAGGAGTCTAGAAAAAAGTCCTCACAGTTACAACTTGCACATGAAAAGAAAAACATTTGGTTCTTTAAATTCAGGCTGATAAACATTTCACAAAATCTGAAAACAAACTGAAGTGAAAAAGACTTTAAAAAGCATAATAATAACAAAATAAAGAAAAGAAAAAGGACCACACAGGAAGCTTTATGGTGGTTCAGCTGCCTGCTCTGATTGGCTGTAGAGTTGATCACATGATCGCACAGCCTCTCTTGGCAGTATGAGGATCCTCCTGTGCAAACACACAGAGCAGAACACTGAGCCAGAAGCACAGATTGGCTGTAGAGTTGATCACATGATCGCACAGCCTCTCTTGGCGGTATGAGGATCCTCCTGTGCAAACACACAGAGCAGAACACTGAGCCAGAAGCACACACACGCACACAAAGCAGATGTATGCGTTGATATCAGACCTGCTGGTGAAAGAAACGCTCCTCAATGATTTCAGCTTCCTGTTCTTCCTCATCTTCCTCCTCCACTGCAGTCCTGAATACTGTGCTCCTCACAGCCACTTCCTGTAGGGACAGGGACACTTCAGAACAGTCCTGTAATGTGATGGCGGTCACATCTGACAGCAGATGCAGGTCTCACCTCTCCTCCTGGGCTCAGCAGAAGCACTTTAACGTTCTCGCCGCTCCCCCATGAGCTCTGGCTCTTCCAGATCAGGTCTGCAGGAGGGCTGGAGCTCACGCCTGCATTAGACGCCCAGATCTGACAGAAACCAACACGCATACAGATGACCCAACGCCAGAGGCATGTTCCCCCACTAATGTCCGGTCAGGTGACAGTGTTTTATTCATAATCAACAAGGATGTGACGATACGTACCGTTACTTTCTGTCCAGCCTTCAGCACGTATTTAGCAGTGAATTTATACGTAGCAGAAACATCCCCGATAGTCCTTGTCAGCTGAAATCCTGCCATGGGTTGATCCTGAAGAAGGGGGAGGAACAATTATTCAGAAAATGAAGTTTCATTCAACTAATTACTAGAATAGAAAGAGAAAAACAAACACCGCAGCTTTGTGAATCAACACCGCTCGACACATTAGCCGTGAAGCAGTTTACAAAGACAGCATCTGAACCGAAACCGTGACTGAGGTTTAAAGTGCACAGCGGTTTTTGCTGCTTGATGAAGTCACTTTTATTAAATCCACTAAAGCAACAATTCCTGAACATCAGGACCGCAGTTTGACACGAGTGCTACAGAGCATCAACTGAGTCAGCACAATCTTATTAGAGTTTTTTCAGATTACAGCAAATATTCAAGACAATTCCAGACATTTAATACCATAAACGGGTCATGAAACCCCACAGTACTTTTCCTGAGATTTTAGCAGAGGTGTTTGTGTTGCACATCATAGAAGACAATGTTAGCATCCCATAATTCCCATCCCAAACAATTTGTGACGTGGCAATGGACTATAGTACATCGATGACGCTCGGTGTCTATTAAATTATTCATGAGACTGTGTGTTCTTATCCAATCAGAAGACGCTTCGCTTAATTATTCACAACAGCATGTGTTGATTTGCTATGACAGACGTTACAGACTGCGAGACAGCGCACAATAACAGAGAGAAACGTTCATGGATCGAAGAAGAGTTTGTTTTTGCTTTGTAATAAGAGTTCAGCACATACGTGATTCATTCACTTGGTGAGTATAACCGTTTTTACAGCTCTGTGACAACCCATCAAAGGCTTATATAAACGCCACAGAATAAGCCTTAAAAGTTCTCAGAGGTGCAATAGTGCGTGCATATTAGAGCCCGACCGATATGGGTTTTTTGGGGCCGATACCGATATTAGGGAATAAAAAAAAAAGGCCGGTACCGATATATCGGCTGATATTCTTTGTGTATATTATAGTACAGTACCAGTCAAAAGTTTGGACACTTTCCCATTCATGTGTCCAAACATTTGACTGGTACTATATATAGAATACAGTATAGACATAAACAGAATATATATACATAAACACATTTTTTGCAATGATCACTCAAATGTGGTGATCAAACACGTATAATGGTGACAGAGATATGTAAGGGCATTTAACAATTTAACAATAAACTTGCGATGAGTGCGATGCACAAAGTAACGGGGTGTTAGTTGTAACACGTGGTTTGAATATTTATTTTACCATAGTAACATTTAAATTCTGGCTTAAGTACATTTTTTATCTCACTTTTTATTAATCATTTAAATGAGACAAATCTGCTATTATTTTAATCTCCAATCTGTTATTTATCAGTTCAGATAGTTTTTTAATGCTTTGATTACTAGCAGAAGACACTAACCAGTTTTAAATTCCAGTTGCGCAGATGGGGCAAGTTGTAACACTGCGTTACAATGTGCTATTCTATGACATTAGCGATGTAATTTACAATATTCACTTTAATTAATTTTAATGAGAAACAAC